TGGGGCCGGATACATTTGGTTTAAAACCAACAAAAGGAAGTTTTTCTTCACTCAGCACACAGTCAACCTGTGGATCTCCTTGCCAGAGGATGTGGTGACGACTAGGACTATAACAGGGTTCAAAAAAGAGCTAAATAGATTCATGGAGGTTAGGTCCATCAATGGCTGTTAGCCTGGATGGTAGGAAATGGTATCCCTAGCCTCTGTTTGTCTGCAAATGGGTGACAGGAGAGGGATCACATGAGGATTACCTTTTGTATTCCCTCCTTCTGGAGCATCTGGTATTGGCCACCATTGGCAGACAGGATACTGGGCTAGCTGGATCTTTGGTATGACCCAGCATGGCCATTCTTATGTTCTAATGCAGACTGGGTACATAACTTATGTAGGTGTCCCACCCTGTTATCTTTCCCATGTGATTTTCAATGCCTATCTTTCACCCATTCCATTTCTGACAAGAGGGAATAATACAATCACAGCTCTTTGGCTCCAAGACTGGGTGGGCTTTTCGGTGAGGAAGGGGGTATTCAGGGAGGTTTCTACACTGATGTAGTGATTTCTTGCTGTCTTATATTTATTCCTCTTTGCTTTAAAGCTTTTCCATGGGCTTTAAGCTTGACTAGGTCTAATAAGAAAATAAAAATAAGAGTTGAGTATTTTTTTTAAAGCTAAGCTTTCTCATTCAGCTCCATTTCTAGGTTCCTACTAATCTTATCATACACAACCTCCTCCTCCTCCCCCCCACCCCACCCATACGCACACACACACACCAGGAATGAACCCCCCCAGTTAAATCTCCTGCTTTTTGGAGAATTTTGAGCTACATTATAGGCAAAACCGTAACATTTTCAACATGTTGGCATAATAGCAACCAGAGCTACTTCTGACTACAGCTATGCTCTAGGCTTGAATTTTGACATTTCTCTATGGGCTGATTTATGAAATAGGCTTTAGTTGGGGTGATTGACCATATCTTGTGTAAATCAACTGTGATATATTTAAATTAGTGGCTTTCAGATAGATTTATGCATGGATTGGGGAAAAACTGATGGGAATGTAAAAACTTCTAAGCTGCCTCTGGAAATGGAATAGCCATTAGTATTTATCTCTAGTTTTCTCTCTTTTGTTATCTTGCAAGTTTTCTTTGTTTTGTTTTCTGAGAAGGTGGGAGCATTCTTACTGGTGTCTTGAAAAGTATCCATTTCTCTTACTTTAATGAAATTCCCAAGATCTACATCACAATCTCTATTATTTGTCTAGAGACCCAGGACCCTAAGTAGAAATTTCTCTTTGAGCCCATTATTTTGGGCTCACTATTCCGACATCCCTGTAAACCTCATTTTACAAGGAGCAAGGGACATTTTAGAATAGCGCTTTATTTCAATATTTGGCGCTGTGCAGACAGTGCCAATTGATGAAATAAGCTATTTTGAAATAGCATCGAAATAAGATATGCAATTTGCATAGTTCAAATTACATAAGAACGTAAGAACATAAGGATGGCCATCCTAGGTCAGACCAAAGGTCCATCTAGCCCACTATCCTGTCTCCTGACAGTGGCCAACACCAAGTGCCCCAGTTGGGGTGGACCGAAGACAATTATCAAGCGATTTGTCTCCTGCCATCTCTCTCTAACATCTGACAAACAGAGGCCAGGGACACCATTTCTATCCCCTGGCTAATAGCCTTTTATGGACCCAACCTCCATGAAATTATCTAGTTTCTCTTTAAACTCTGTTATAGTCCTAGCCTTCACAGCCTCCTCTGGCAAGGAGTTCCACAGGTTGACTATGCGCTGTGTGAAGAAGAACTTTCTTGTATTAGTTTTAAACCTGCTACCCATTAATTTAATTTAGTGTCCTCTAGTTCTTCTATTATGGGAACTAATAAATAACTTTTCTTTATTTACCCTCTCCACACCACTCATATTTTATATACCTCTATCAGATCCCCTCTCAGTCTCCTCTTTTCTAAACTGAAAAGTCCCAGTCACTTTAACTTCTGCATATCTTATTTCAACTTACAGTGCAGTGTAGACTCACCCTGACTGTCTACAGTGATCAAAACAAAGCTACCCCTTCATCTATATGGGGCACAAACTTTTCCAGCCTGGGGAAAGATTTTTAGTGTGGTGTATTGAAGTGGTGGGAAATGATAAACTATCACTTTAAGTTTATAGTGGTCTCCTGGTCTCCAGGGGAAGCAGGTGATCAATATGATCAACGTGAAAAAAGCAAGACAAGTTGAGTTGTGCATCTCTTCCTTAGGGAGCAGCATACATACTTTGTCTCTCTCTCTGTTTGGGGGCTCTTGTGTGTTTTTTGGAACATAAGTTAAAAGTAGGGCAACCTTGCAAACATTCAGAACGATAACAATTGAAAATGCTCTAGCTGCATTGTAGGCTGGGCACATAACCTTTGGAATCTCCTAAGCCATGGGGATGAATCTCCAGCTTGCCGACTGGGTGTGGTTTGCCATGATTGGTGAACCCTGGCTAATAGAACCTGTGAATGGTCAAGCCTGAAGACACTTAGGTACACAAAGTATCTGGCCTGACCAACTGCATCTGGCTCACAGGCCAGAGGTTCTCTACTTGTCCTAAGGAATGTTGTAGCACACCTTCCCTTTGAAAACCAAGGGACTTCTGTGCCTAAATCATCTTAGATGGTTAGATCTCCAATCAGCTGTCTAAAATTAGGCACCTCGATTAATCAATACATAAGTAAATAGATTTCTTTCAGAGATGATGAGCTACTGCAATTTTCCTTGAGCTCAGCAGGGTCTGCAGGTGCTCACCCCAAACTCATATACGTAAATGCTCAAATACAGATTTAGGAGCCTAGCTTTAGGAACCGAATTTTGAAAAAAAATAAGTCTGAGCACCTCTGCATAAACTGAACTAAGCAGCAGACAGTGGTGACCCCATAAGATCTACCACAGAAATTCCTCTTTGTAGCACTCCATAGACCATAGCTATCTTCAATTGTGACTTAAAGGGAACTATCCATTACCCAAGTTGAGTCAAAAATGAACATTCAGTCTTAGACTTTCAAATCTGACCTGAGGGATTTAGAGACACAGTACTCATTAACATGAATAGGACTTGGGAATTGAAATTTCCCAGGTGGCTTTGAAAATTTGAGTCTGTTTATGGATTTACATTATTGGTTTAACATGCTTTTATTCCCTTCCTTTTGGTTTAAATGGACAATGCTAGCTTTGAAGGGATGGTAGTGCCATGTAGAATGTATGGATTGAATCCAGTGAAAGATCAAAGAGGAGACAGACTAGTTTGCAAAGATGTAGGAGAAAGGGGAAGAGTTAAAATCTTAAGAAGTCTGCTTCTAAAATTATTATTCTGAGCCCATTTTACAGTAGAAAGGAAGAAATCCTTTGCATCTGAGTTACTAGTGTACGTTCTATAAAATTAATAGAGTAGGTGCTTCCGGCCATCTGTGAATCCATCCCCTTCTCTTAACACACACTTTATGGCCCTTTCATGCTACCAAGCAATATAAAGGGACCTTGGTTTAAATGAGAATCCAGTCCAAGGAATCCTGTGGGAGTAACTAATTGTCATTGTGAATAAAGGGATTTAAAAATGATTGCCAATCTCAAAACTTCATAAGTCAGGTCCCAAACAATCATGAAAAAGGTTTAAAAACACAAGGTTTGACTAAATAATAAATATTTGGCCTTTCAATTTGTCTTCTGCTTTTTTAGCTTTTAGTGTTCACTTTTTATAACTTTTCTCCCACATATTTATGGGGGGTGAAGAGTCTCCCAACTCCCAAGCTTGGATTCAAGAAAAATTCCAACTAGAGTGAAACTTGGCATCAAATCATGAGGGTTGACAGCAGAATGAACTTTTGTGACTAAGGTGGTGGTTTAACAGTATCATCAGGGCTTAATTTTACCTCAAAGAGGACCCTAACTCTTCCCCCCACCCTGAGAGAAAATGACTGAACGAAATAACAAAGAAGCCATTGAAAGATATAATTCCTCACCCCATTCAAGCTCCTGCTTCCATAACCTTGAGAAAGAGCTCAGGGTTTTTTATGACACTCCTTTTACAATATTCTTTTATTAAAAATTATCATGAGAGTCTGTCTAATAAAAACGTACATAAATGTCACTCTAACAGTGACAAACATCACTAATTGCTACCATAGATAATGGAGAATGGGGAAAATGTTTCCTTAAGTATTTAGTAATATTGAAGGCCAAATTTTGATTTGATCGTATTCACAACCTATTCATATTTGTGTTCCTCAGGTATTCCATTATTTGACATTCACTCGCAGTAAAGATGGTTGACATTCTTTAAGAAAGTGGGTGTGGCATTTTCTTTTATTAATTGTGCTTTTAAAAAGAACTGTATATGAATACATTTCAAAATGATTTTTTGTTTTAACATAGTACCTCTTTTTCTTTCACAAAATGGGGTGGGGGAGATGGTGGAGGTGGAGAAGTTGGGAGGAAAACTGAAAAGGGAAGAAAAGCAAAAAATATGTACTAAAATGTTCAAGATTTTGGTTTTGGTGTGGGGTTACTTTTTCCTTGTATTTGTCCCACCCCCTTTTCTCTCTTTTTCTTCTGCCTAGCTACCATTTGTACTACAACACAAATTGCAGATGGCATGTTCCATTTAATATTCACATAATTCTTAGTTCAAACAATATTCAGTTCAAGAATGATTCATTAAAGAAATAAATGAATATTTTTGAACAATGAATACATTGAAGAATTTCATTATCTGTTCATGGTCAATTTGCAAATATAACAATAAAGTACAATATGTCAAAAACTGTTGCAAATTATTTCTAATGATTACTCCATTATTAAAACAGAATCATTTTGCTAGTGATCAGCCCAAAGTTGAATTCTTACACTCTTAAACTTTATAGCAGAGTTGAAATCTATAATTTTGTGGCTTAGTACTATATTTGCTTTTTCAAAAAATCATGCCATAACTCTTTCTATATATGTATTTCTTTCAGTATCACCTGGGACTGTGTTTGTTGCAAAAAGCTGACAATATCAAGTCCAGTAAGGAGAAACCATGCCCTATACTGTAAACAAAAAGCAGCTGGACTGTGCTGAGGAGGTCCAGTGAGAGAACAGTTTAAGCAGTGTTTGATGTTGCCATGCATTTGTGTATTAGTTCTCAGGCAGTATTTTGTTTTAGCTTGGAACTGATATTCTTTGCAACAAGATGTATGCAAATAAATTTCCCATGAGCTCTTGCAAGAGGTTATTTGCAGCACAAACTAAAACCATTATAAACTACTAAGATGCCCCTAAACTGGCCTAAAAATTATCTGAGGAACAGAGAACAGCTGGACTGTGCAAGTGATCTCCACTGACAGCTCAGCTAGCTTCCATATGTAGCTGCACTGGGTTTCAAGCAGACACTGATGAATAAAATTCACTGATCAGAACACCCTCCTTGTGTCTAGGCTGTGGTCACTATTCGGAAACTATGAAGTCTTTGAAAATGGTTTTGTAGCGAAACTGTGGTGGCAAAAAGCCCTTCCTATAGTAGTTTGCAGTAGTGTGGCCATATAGGCTGCAAGATATCACAGAGAGAAGGTGAGTGAAGTAAAGCCTCTTATTGGACCACCTTCTATGGGTGTGTGATGGGGCTCCGCAGCCCTGCACTGTAGCCCCCACCACGAGCTCTCTGTTGGCAGCACAGGGGGCAATGTACTGGCATTGTGTCGAGTGCTCACGGGCTGCAGAACGCCTTGCAGCCCCAGGTGTGGTGGCCGAGACGAGGCCCGGATGCAATGGGTGGGCGGGGCCACGTACGTGATGTCAGGACAATGTCACGCCAAGCACCAGGAGCAGCGGGAGATTTAAACACTGCTCGGCACCAGGAGAGGAAGGGGGGCACGTGCATGTGTGGGCGCAGGAGTGGGCGTACACCAGCACAACCCCCTGTGGAGCAATGGGGACCCAAGCCTGCAGGAGGAGCCAAGCGGCTGAGCCACTGGAGGCCAGGCAGGCCTCAGGAAGGGGCAGTAGGACCAGTAGGGAAGAGGAAGTAGCCCAGGGAAAGGCAATACAATGCCCACGGGCAGAGAGCCCCGTCAGCCGGATAGGACCTTAGAAGGCCTGCGTCCTTAGGGCCCTGGGCTGAGGCCTGGGCCCCCCTCTCTTCACCCTCGGAGGAGGGAATACCCAGTGATTTGGGAAAAGAAGCAGTGCTCTACCCCCCCCAGCTGCAGGTGGGAGCACTGTGCAGCTAAGGACCTAGACAGACCGTCTGGGGAAAGCCATTCTGCAATAGGACTACGGGTGAGGTGGCAGGACATTCAGGACAGTCAGACGGGCCGGGGTAAAGACTAGATGGGGGTCGGACCCAGCCTGGTCACAGGGTGAAAGAAACATATTTTTGAGCATTTGTGACTTCTCTTTTGCCCACTAACATTGGTCCAATAAAAGATATTACCTCACCCAGGGCCAGCTTTAGGCCGATTTGTCTGATTCCCCCAAATTGGGCCCCGCGCCTAAAAGGGCCCCACACTCTAAAGCCAGAGGGCCCTGTGCCCTAAACCCAGACGTGTGCCGGGCGTGCTGCGGGAGGAGGCGTCGGCCCTGGAGGAGGAGCACGGTGGCTTCTGTGTGCCATGGGAGGGAAAGTCGGCCCCTGGGTTTGGTGGGTGGAAGGTGGGATTCTGCCCTGTAGCTGGGGATTTAAAGGGTCTGTGACGTGTTTCTTTCTGTGCTGGTTTTTTTTTTTTTTGCTCAATCAAAATTAATTTGCGTGTATTTTTTTTTTTGTTCGAATTGGGTCCCACACTTCCTAAAGCCAGCCCTGACCTCACCCATCTTCTCTCTCTCATATAGTAAAGTTACAAAGCGTTGGCTATGATAAAAATTACAAGGACAATCAACCCTGACGCTCCAGGGTATAAACATATAAGTTAGGCCATGTCTACACTAGGAATCTATTTCAAAAATAGTAAATTTGACTTGATAACTCCCGATTTAACAAATTCAAACTAGTGTGTACATACTGCATGGAAGACTCAAAATTAGTCCGAGGCAGGCTCCATTAATGTGGATGCGCTATCTCCAACTTAGAGCCCCAGGAAGCACTGGGGAGTTGTTAGTTCAAATTACTCTGGGGAGTAATTACAGCAAAATTCCAATAGTCCGGCATCTAACTGTATGGCACTCCCGATAGTCTGGCATCAAAATGGCAATAGGCTACTGAGTGAGCTTTGGCAAAAAACAAGTCACAAGGCAGCAGTGGTTACTGTATTAATAGTTTAAGTGATTAATAGTTGAAGTGATTAGCCAGTGCTGCACACTACTGTACATAGTATCCTCTGCTTTCTGTATTCAAAGACTTCACAAGAATAATGGTGAGTACTGTACTGTACATTTATTCTTTCATTCGATAACTAAATTTATTCATTATAGTATGTACAATAAAAAGGGTAAAAAAGGATTAAAAAACTAAAACATTACAATATACTCTATACAGTATGTACAATAAAAAGATACTTTATATACAGTGTATACTTTATATATATATATATATAACCACCTTACAGTACCTCCTGATAGTCCGGCATAATCCTGCACCACCTAGGTCCCAAAAGTTCCAGATTATTGGAAGTCTACTGCATTTCAAAATAACAGCACTGGAGCATCCACACTACCATTATTTCAAAATAACTATTTTGGAATTAGCGTTACTCCTGAAGAAAAACAGGAGTACAGATTTCGAATTCCGCAGCCCGTTATTTTAAATTAATGGGCTTGGTAGTGTAAACACTCTGCTTATAAATGAAACCATGGGGAAGGGAGAGAGGTTTATATCGAAATAAAGTCCTAGGCTATGTGTAGACTGCACGCCTCTTTCGAAAAAGAGCGTCTAGGCTACAACTAGTACTTTCGAAAAAGCAAGTTGCTTTTTTGAAAGAGAGCACCCAGGCAGTCTGGATACTCTCTTTCAAAAAAGCACATTTTGTATTACATAGCGCTTTTTTCGAAAGAGCACTTTCGAAAAAAGGCATTATTCCTCATAAAACAAGGTTTTCCGTGGTCGAAAAAACTGCCGTGTTCTTTCAATTTACTGTTGACAGAACGCAGTGGTAGTCTAGATGCGGGTAAAGTTTTTTTTAAAAAAGGCCACTGTTTTTTCAAAAAAAACCCTGGGCTGTGTCTAGACTGGCCAGCTTTTCCCGAAAATCAGCCACTTTTCTGGAAAAACTTGCCAGCCATCTACACTGGCCGCTTGAATTTCCGCAAAAGCACTGACAATCTCGTGTAAGATTGTCAGTGTTCTTGCAGAAATACTATGCTGCTCCCGTTCGGGCAAAAGTCCTTGTGCGCAAAAGGGCCAGTGTAGACAGCCCAGATTTGTTTTCCGCAAAAAAGCCCCAATCGCAAAAATGGTGGAAAAGCACGTCTATATTGGCATGGAAAAAGCGTCCATGCCAATCTAGACGCTCTGTTCCGAAAATGCTTTTAACGGAAAACTTTTCCGTTAAAAGCATTTCCGGAAAATCATGCCAATCTAGACGCAGCCCTGTAGTTTAGACACACCCCTAGTGTAGACCAGGGCTTAAGGTCAGGAAGAACATTTTCTTCCTCATTTTAACCAGATCTATTCAATTCTCTTTTCTCTGAAGCAATTATTGTCCATTGTTGGAGACAAGATGCCTGAGTAACTTGTCTATCTGATGTGTTCTGACATGTATCTTGACATTCCGATGTTTAAATTAATTTAGGAACTAGACCAGTGCAAATGGCTGAAAGATGCTGTACTGTGACTATTTTAAAGGTGAGGAATGAATTGACTTTGGTATATTGCTGTTATTTATCTAGACACATCCATTTATTAAAAGGGATTTTGAGAAAACAGTCAGGATCAGGTCAGCCTTTGTAAAAACTGCATGGAATCCTCTTGATTCCTTGAGGAAAACCTTCTCATTCCAGGGTCAAAATAATAAATAATCTATTCAAGTTCTTTCCATCTTAGTTAACACATTTGCATTTAAATTACCATCAATTTAAAACATAGCCTAGATTAACCTACTGTAAGGTAAGTGCACAGATGGTGGGAAAATCCTACCCAAGAGTAGTTACCAATGTTTTACAATTGAACTGGAAAGGCATATTCAGTGAGGTCTTGCAGAGATCTGTCCTGAGCCCAGTTCTATTATGCTCAAGATCTTCATAAATCATTTCTTCATTTGGATATGGCATTAGTAAAATTGTAGATGATACCAAGCTGTGAGGGTATGTAAGTGCTTTGGAGGATTAGAAATCAAAATGATCTTGACCAACTGGAGAAATAATATGAAATTCAATGAGGACAAAGGCAAAGTACTCCACTTAGGAAGGGATAATTAGTTTTGCAAATACAAAGTGAGAAATAACTGCATGGTAAGGAGTACTAAAGGAAAGAATCTAGGGGTTAAAGTGGATCACAGAATAAATGAGTTAACATAAAACCATTTAAAAAAGGTAATTCTGGGATAGATTAACTACAGTGTTGTAAGTGAGACACGAGTTCTTCCACTCTACGCAACAGAGATCAGGACTCGAGAAGTACTATGTCCAGTTCTGGGCAGAATTCGAGAAAGATATGAACAAATAGGAGTAAGTCCAAGGAGAGAAACAAAAATGACCAAAGCATGACCTTTGAGGAAAGATTGAAAAAATGGGCTTGTTTAGTCTGGAGAAGAGAAGGAGATGAGGACATGATGATAGCTTTAAAGTCCATTAAAGGTTATAAAGAAGAGGAGGATAATTGTGCTTGGTAACCACTGAGATGAGATGAGATGAGATGAGATGAGATGAGATGAGATGAGATGAGATGAGATGAGATGAGATGAGAGTTTTCTGTAAATATTTTGTATGAATACTGTGTGTGCCTTAGTTTCCCCTGTGTGCTAACTAGATGGTGGGAATGGGCTGTTTATTCTCTGCAGAGACCTAGGGATTCAGGTGTGACTGATGCCTAGCCAGGATTACTTCCAAAGTCAATGGAGAGTCTGTAAGACAACAGCCAACACAAATTCTGGGACATATATTAGACGCATAGAATCATGTCATCATAGAATCATAGGATTGGAAGAGACCTCAGAAAGTCATCAAGAGGGGATGGATTGCACCCTCAGCAAGTTTGTGGATGACACTAAGCTAGGGGGAGAGGTAGATACGCTGGAGGGCAGGGATAGAATCCAGAGTGACTTAGACAAATGGAGGATTGGGCCACAAGAAATCTGATGAGGTTCAACAAGGACAAGTGTAGAGTCCTGCACTTGGGACAGAAGAATCCCAAGCATTGTTACAGGGTGGGGACCAACTGACTA